TATAGAAAAGAAATAAAGCAAAGCTAGAAAATACTTTATGGAAATATAATCTTGGACACATGTAAAGTTCATACCAGAGGAGCGCAGCTTAAGAAAACAAATACGGCCATAGGAAGTCTAGTAGGATTATATATTATTGTGCTGTTCGTATATGTTTAGTCGCATCTGTAGTTGGATAGTATGTTTCAACGTCTTGGCTATCCATGCCGAAATAAAATTATGTTAATATTATTCAAGAACAGTTTTTTTTTGTATTCTGTAAATATATATAGCAGTATTTCTATTTCGAAGGTTTTTGAAATATATTTTTGAGCTTTCGACACAAAAAAGTAAAAAATACCATATATTCTCTTAAAAAAAAAGTATGTATTAGAAGAAGCGATGATATAGCATAACGAACAAAATGAACATCGAATCGGGGTTGATTTTAAACTCAACTCGGTCTACAGGCATCAAAGTTTTTTTTTAAAGCAAATGCATTTGAAGAGAACGCTTTAGGCTGAATTAATTATCAGCTCTGCCTCAATAATGCTTCTTCAAAGACACCTTTTTCTAGTGCAAGAAGTAGGAAACAGTTAACGTATTATCAGTATTTATTTTGCAGACAGCAATGGCAACAGATGCTATGAACCCTTGATGGGTCGAAAACAGTTGTTCATTAGCAAAAAATCAAAACTTCACCTCGTGCTGCGCAGGGGAACTTTTCAGTTGCGATCAAGTAAAGCATATTTCGAATAGCACGAAATATGTAAAGTGACTTAGATTGGAGTTAGATGTGAGTCTTCAACAGCTCTGAAATATCAACTACTAGGAAATAGCTGACTCCATTAAAGGTTCTACATCCTGCGGTGATTCCAAAGAAAAGCACGGATCAATTATTTCAAAAGTATTAATAAGCAAAGTAACCACCGCTGACATTCATTGTCGTAAGCGACGTAACTTTAACGCGGTCGCTTCTTATCAACTTTTCATGGGTCCAACGGCGATCCGCTCGTATGTAAATTAGGTTGAGCGTGTTCCCTGTTTTGTTTGTTATTATCAAAAGCCTATAAGAATGAGAATCGCACTCGGAAATAGCTCTATTAATATTTTCATGTAATAGCGTTTTATCCATCGTACCATGAAACTGAATACGCTCGGAAGTCAAGATCCGAAGATTTTTTTAGATTTTAACACTCGTTTCAACGAGCAACGTATTCACTATTATCCATTGTCTGGTTTAGATGATACGTGCCTCTGTAGGCAGGAAGAAATTTCTGCACTCGTATACTCTACGCAGCTAGGACATAGAAATCCGTTTTTAATACAGTTTATTATTGACATGGCTACCTAAAATACACCAACGTAGTTCATATACACGATATATTTTGCCTTAATAGAATCTACTTGTGTATAGCCAATTTATACAATATTTGTTTTTCAATTTGTACAAGTTTCTTCAACGTGTAGTCTTGTATATCATTTGGATAAGCATCCAGCACAATCTCAGCTAACAGTGCCACTAGCTCCAAGTTGCTAGTTTCTTCAGTACTTTGAATCATATGTAGCTTCCAACGGCTCACCCCATGAGGTGTACAATCTTCGAGAATGTTTAAGATAACTATTAGATTCCATGTAGCACCTTCGACCGTAAAACCGGTTTGATTCGTTAGAAATTCTCTCTTTTCAATTAGCGCGATCTTCTGGTCGAACCGCGTAAATTTCTTGACTGCGTGTAGCAAATCTAGATGGTGACGTTCAATAGGGACACAATCGTTCGGATTGTCGTCGAGGACAAAACCGTAGTTTTGCAATAGCGTCCTATTATCATAATTACCGTAGCTGATAAACACTTCTTCGCCCGGCTCGTACCGGCTATTCGAGATGATTACAAAATGCCCTTCCTGTTCACAAAAAATAGGACATTTTTGGTAAACGTTCTTGAAAAAAACAATACTTTGTATCTTATTTTATGCAATAGTTTGTTAGTTGTTTGATTCGTGTGTGCCAGAGATTACTCATGAGTAAAAAGGAGCGCTTCTGTCGACTAACCTGCAAAAAAATTTCTTAAGTCTATTGTAGCCAAAATGAAATCAGTGTCAGTTATTTTTATTCAGTAGATCTAGCTAAAATTGAGTTAGATGTGACTAAAATAAGATAGATACAAGTTTAAAAAACCAATCAGGATTCAAATGCTTATTAACAGCCTGTAGGTTTTCATCTTTCATTAGAACTTTCATTGGTGTTCACACCGTGTGATACCAATATCATATAATGGCACCTTGAATTGAGTATTCACGCTTGCAGTCCAATGATGGTTCAGCATGTCCAAAAAGGGTGCGAGAACTCCGCCGTGACCTTCGACATATATGCACCGCGTGTTTACAACGCACCAGCTCCATAAAAACTCAGACTCCGAAACGTCGTCGGCCTTGACAGCTTGAAAATACTTTGACAGATTTCTCCAGGACCGAAGAGCAGTAGTACACCACCTGTCTACAGAATGACGATAATTGCTCAAATAGACGATACGCTTTACAATAGGCCACGCATTACCTATATCAAAAACACATGGCAGGCCATAATGACCACAGTAAAAGACTTAACAAAATATATAATTGGTGAATTGTAATATTGGGCACAAAAACTATAGACAGTACTGGATTTAGCAGATCTCTTTTCACCAAAAGCAAGTTGTAATCCTCGCGGTAGTTTATCGAGCTGCTTGTACGTGAACAGGGAATTGAATTCTGCCGGCAAGGAACTGATGTACGGTTGCCAGGTGGAATATGATCCAAGTCGCGTTTCCGCGATGATGAACGCTGTGAGGATCTCTTCAATTGAAAATGTGTTCGGTAGATTTGGAATCGACGCGCGGACCTGCATCATGGGTACAACCAAATTCTCAATTGTGTACTAGGTCAACAACTCATTATATCGCGCATGCTTTTATCTTTTATACCTCCTCGAATTATATTTAACTTATGCTGGAATCAGATAGCAACTGTATTCAGAATGCAAACGCCCTGAGGAATAACTAACCACTAATTATTAATTAAACTAGAAGGTGGAAGGTTGATACATTTATTATAGGTTTATCTTGCCTTTACGAATAAGCAATATCTAATTCGTGGTATTTCGTACGTAATAAACTCAAAAAATGTTACCGAGGTTATCAAAGTGTTGTCGTCACGTATTTGACTTGGCTCTAATACATATAATATTTTGACAATTAAATATGTCAAGAGTAGTCATTACTTTACTACACACGCCACCTTACCTTTACTTTATCGCTCTCATTTGCCACTAAATTACTTAATCCTTGCTCCTTAAGAGTAATTTTTGCGAGTGACGGTTAATTTTCGATTGATCTATTGCTTAAACACAGTTTTGCAATTATTTTTACTTTACACATTTGTTTCCCTGCCATATACTACTATTTCTAAGTTTGTAGGCAAATATCAATATTTACCTTGCTTTCTGTGATTAATAAACTTTCCGGAAGACTAATTATAATATCTCCAGGTTGCACGGCATTTTGACAAACCATGCCCCTTCCTGATGATGTAACAGCCAATCGCAAGTTACATTTCGATGGTCGAAAGCCTTTAGCAACTATCCATGAATACAAACCCCGTACAGTAATGTTCCTTATAAACATTTGGTTGTAACGTCTTCTTTTGCGATATGTTCGACCCATTTAACCGGACCACATTTCACTTGCGGGTCAGTCAATATATGATACGATAAGTACGAAAAAATCTATTCAATTCTTGCTTTCGACAGTTATTTCTCTAAATTTATAGATTAGGCAAAATACCGCCATCGAACACAGTCTGGAGCTACTTTCGAAATGTCGCCAAAGGCTACCTTTATTTGAGGCAACAAGCTCTTTATACCTAGCAAAATTAGAGATCTATCACGCTTGCAATTACATGTTGTAAAAATAACTATTCTATTCACGGGAATCGATATTAGTTCATACGAAAAAATGCACAATTTTAAAAAAAAGCTCGTTGCCGATTTTCGAAGCACTTCTGAGTACTCGTTCAACAGCTGATTCTTATATAGAGGATAACCCCTACAGCTGATGAGTTCCCGTTTAATTCAGGTGGCAGAAACTGGCTGCTTAATATTTGAAGCAATATAATTGTTTGCTTATATTACTTTATATAACGCGTGTGAGCTATAGTGCTTTACTTTCAATAAAAAGTAATACGAAATGTGATTAATAAATGGTGTTTTGAGTGTTTCAAATAATAACGAAATAATAAATAGTTATCTATTAGAACCTTGCCAATAACTACGTATTAAGAAGTAACCAATGAAATAATAAAATTTGTTACATAAAACATCTGCTTAAGTGTGTTTGACATATATAAATATGAACCCAATGAAAAGCAAAAATGAGGACAAATTATGTGTGAATAACAAGGAGTCACAGCGGGAAAAACGGGCAAACAATTCAAAGTTAATTGCGTCGCACATACCGCCTTTCCTACTGGTCTCCATATTCTAGGAAAATGGCAGATCATTGCCTATTGTCGAATTAAGGCGAGATTGTGAGTCGATACAGGTTCGTTCTGGTGCGGTAAGGGAGCGGTATTGTGATAGCGTAATGCGGCCTCGGATGTACAACCTGAAGCATTAGAAAGAGGCCGAGGTTTATAGAAAAAGTTGTTATCGTACTAGCTTTCTGCTGCCTTAAGCTCTATAACAGTACACAAACAAAAGTGCATGCTGAGTGTTTTTTTATCGAGGTTCGTCAGTCATCAACATAATGGCTGGGCGTGATCAGTGTGCGGCACAAGAACTTACTTCTGGTTGGATAGAGCGAGCAAACAAAGACGGTTCCGCTGCTTATGCCGTCAACGTCGTGACAGGTAACATAGATATCTTGCTTCAGTGTACGCTTTTCATTAAAAGCTCGAAATCCTGAACACAAGCAATACACTTCATTGATATAATAATTGAATAGTTTTAAAAACAGCAAATTAAAATTTCTACAACATATAACTATAGACTGGACAGAAGTGCTAAATATACTAACATTGCTTCGATGTCTTACTTCGACATTTAGGTCCGAGTACCTTTGAGCATCCTACAACAGACAAACGTTATTGTGTACCAAAGGATCTACCGTTTGGCTGGGTCGAAAGCTCTGAAAGTAATTCGAAGGCGTTCGTGAACGTAGATACGGGCCAGACAACCTCAGTAAATCCCAGATTGGCATTTAAGGTACAAGGCGAACAGATGTCCCTTCAAATCGCAATCTGAAAATTATCAGTCGAATGGAATTCAATGCAAATCATATTTATATAAAATAATAGTAAGATCCATACTTTCTAAGATATGAGTCTTTACGAAAAGAACTAGAGAAATGATTGGACACTGATCACTGGTGAAGAATGGTGCATTCGTAAATAAAGTTATGTGAAAATCAGATAGGAGACAGTATGTGTACGGGTTATTCGTGCATTTATGACATGAAAGCTCCGGGTAATTCTTCATAATTTAATTAATCCATGAGCATTTTAGCACAAGGCTCATACATTATACTTGAAATGTATAATTTGTTAGCCTTTTTATCATTTTCTTTAATTAACTTTCGACGATTTAGTTGTGCTTATAGATCCTCCAAGGCTGGAAGAGTATCCGCAGCGAAAAACAACAAACATTATTATACTTGTTTTCTAAAACTGTCAGGGTTGCAATGGGATTTCATTAGCTAAAAATCGAGGCTAAACTAATAAGTGTGTCGATATATTTGAATTGTAGGTAGAGGATACACACAAGTACAGACAACGTTTTGATAGCCATTCTTGCTGCTGGGACATCCTCGAAGGGCTCGACCTATCGACGAAGACTATTCTCGTTACAGGCGGAAGCTGTGGCATCGGCTGGGAGACAGCACGAAGTCTCGCTTTTCACGGAGCGCAGGTAAACAGCGCGTCTAGTGCGTTAAGAATCACGGAACAAGCAGATAAAAAGAAACTGTTTCATTTTATTACATTTGCTTTAGATCACATCGATGTTCTGTTCGATTGAAAAAGCTGCTTAAGTTGTAAGTTAGCTACTGCATTATATAGTAGTTCAGATTACTCGATACATCAAACGATATTTTTTTATTGCTCCTACTAACGTCAACGAAGTTGTTTGTAGACAAGTCAGTTTTCAAAGTCCATGAAGACAGATTCTTTCGCGATGAAGCACTGGCGTTTTCTTCTTTTCGGATATTCAAGGCCGATATTTGCCGAGTTTATTAGTAATTACAATGATACTGCATTGCTATTTAGGTCGTAGTAACCAGCAGAAACATGAAAAAAACGAGTCAAGCAATTCAACAGCTCAAGCATGAGCGACCGTATCTTCGAATATCTGCTATGTTTATCGACCTTTGTGACCTTAACAGCGTAAGAACTTTTGCCTTCGAATTCAGAAAAGCGCACAACGCTCTCCATGTACTCATTCTAAACGCGGGTATCTACGGCCATCCACATCAGATAACCAAGGATGGCTTTGAAATCACTTTCCAGGTCAGTCGATGTGCATACGCGATACGGTTGTAGATCGATTTAAGTCAGTGTTAGACGAATTATGAATGAGTTTAAAAGCTGCAAAACAGTTTTACTTTGTCATGAATAACACAGATTAGCCTATTTATTTTTGCGGCAGATAAGGCGTCGTCTTTATATTCTGTTTCCTGGACTGTACTCATGTGTGATCAAAACAGTGGTTGAAGCTGCCCTAGCCTTAACCGCAGAATCTCTAGTTTTAATGATGTTTTTTTTTGAAATTCGCGTACTATCAATACTTGGCTAATGTTGGCATATATTGCAAAGGTAGTTCAAGTGATGTTTAACTGTAACCACATATAGATCTTTTTCAATTTGGAGGTGACTACATCTGAAAATTAAATGTGACCTGTCTGATTTTTAAATTTGAGGGATAGAGAAATTATATTTGACTGTTGACAGAGCAGTAAAAAATAAGTAGCCTGCTGCATTCAATTATGTATCAGCAACGTTTTTTCATTTTATTCCGTCTAATACCACGACAGGTGAATTACCTATCGCAGTTTTATCTATTTCGTCAACTAAGCTCTCTACTGGTGGCGTCCGCTCCGGCGAGGGTTGTCGTACTTAGTTCAGAATCACATCGGCTCTCTTTCCTTACAATGCCAGCTCATTTGACCGTGGACAGACTTTCGCCACCAGAAAGCAAATCTTTCTGGACTGTTGCCGCATATAATGATTCAAAATTGCTTAATGTATGGTTTGCCAGAGAAATTGATCGGCGACTCGGACTGCGAGGCGTAAAAGCTTTTGCTGTTCACCCAGGTCAGTTATCATCGACCCATATTTACAAGCTTGACGAAAAAAGATAAGCTTAATTAACACAATTTATTGCATTGCAAATAGATATGATTCAGTATACTTTAGTGGAGTTGTCCTAACCTACTTAAGAATTAAAAAACCGTCACTTCGGAATTTTAAAACTTCAATACTAGAAATTCCAGTCCTTACCAAGCAGTCAGATTTAGACATTTTTCTTGCGATTATCAACTGAATAATAAATATAATTAAAAAAAAATAGAGTTGCCTAGTTCTTAGTTAGCTAGCTTATAATGAGATAGCAGTAACAAAGTCTTCGTAAGTGTTTTATGGATTGAATCCTATTGTGTTAACAGGTAATATGGTGAACACGTCGATATCACGATACTGGTGGGTCTGGCGTCTTCTCTTTTGGCTGGTATCCCCTTTCACAAAAACCCTGGGGCAAGGCGCTGCCACAACTGTGTATGCTGCTATCGCTCCAGAACTGGATGGTTTGGGAGGGCTGTACTTCAATAACTGTGCTCCGTGTAAGCCGACGAAGCCCGCTCTTGATGACAAAATGGCTGAAAAACTGTGGACACTTTCCGAAAAATTGCTGAAAGGAAAAAACATGAATTAGCTTATAACTAAAGACCTCAATTTGAAGTTGTCTCAATTCTACGCTAAAACATCAATGAGGGAACGCAGTTGTTTTAGATCTATGTAGCGTCTTGTTTATTAGCTCTACGATGTGCTCGATATTCACTCGTCGAACGATATGACTACAACATCTATTGGATCTACCATTTTTTTAACGAAACAGTTTCAGTATTAAACGTAGCTGTACAAATATATTGTCTGCCTCGGACTATGATTGTGACAAGAACGTGGCCATGGTAGTGCGGACCAATCTTAACCTTACCCAGTGTAAATCGAAGCGACTGCACGCTCTTATTGAATTAACCCATATACTTACTAATTTCAGATCTTAATTTTGAAGGAACGATCAACCGCTTATAAATATTTTTTGAAGAACTTCGTTAAGAAGTTCTTTCGTAACTGTGCCTATTAATTTTGCTAACCCAGTACTGGTGCCTTCAGTTTAGTGAAGCATATGTCTGGAATCGCATTAAGCCTGAGTTAATTTTCGGCGAAATTAAATGTGTCCATTATTGAATGAAAACGTCGGTTACTCTTAACCTAACCTAAATTAAAGGTCAAAGCTTAGTTTTCTGCTTTATTTAATTACTGCATTACCTAAAAGACATAATAAAATCTGACTGTAGGAAAGCAAGCTTCCACAACGAGTCTTATTATTTTCAACAACAGCTAAATCGGAAGTAAAAATATTATGCTTTCAACGTGGGCATAATTATGTTCCAATGGTCTAACCTAGCCTGATCGTCTTAGCGTTCCTGGATTTGTTTTTGTAGTAAGAAAAAAAAAAACAGAAAATTGTCTATTTTGCGGGCCATAGAAGTGAAGTGTTTACAAAACTATTTTGGATTAATAAAACCAGGCCCTACATTATGTTCCTTTTTGAACATTTGATAATATGGATGCCATTTATCTAAATATTAAGATATATAGCCTGACTGGATCATAGTAGACAATACGTATTAGGGGATTATTTTGTGACTTTTGACAACAATTACAGGCAATTGTCATTCCGTTTTTCCATCCTATAACTCTAATTGTTCTTGTTTATTGTTTTTCTTATTACGATATAACATTGTAATAGTCTTGATACCCATATTTTGGTATTTGTCCACTTACTGTAGATTACTCCACTTCCTTTTGTTATATGAAGACAAAAACATTTCCTAAAGCTCTTCAAAACAAATTGATTAAGCTTGTGATAGCATTTTTGTATTGAACAGAAATCCTTAACAAATGGTGAATTTACATATTAATTTTAAGCATACTTCATAGCTGAAATACGTATTCTCCGATGCGCGATAACTAGTCATTTTGCAGGGGCTTAATAGAAATGAAAGAGTGGAATAATTAATTGAATTACATTAAGAAGAACTCGCTGAAGTTGAGAAAAAGAGAAAGGTAAGTTAAGGGTCGAGGTTTATACTAATAGAGGGTTCAGTTAACTGAGATTCTGAATATTTGTGGTGATGTGGTTTTTGAAGCAGTCGTGAATTGCAGAGTTCCTTGTTATAAGAAGCCATATATTCTCTAAGCTTTGACTCGATGGGCATTAAGTCATAGAAACACGGTAGCCAGAAGCGTTCGCTATTTTTCGAAGCGAGCCAAACAGCGCAGCGAATGTTTTCTATAGGCTATCACCAGCAGAAATATATCCGTTGCAAACAGGCTGTATTTTTTCTTCTGCAAGATTTTAAAGGGCGGGGCTAAGTGTTTTTTTTTTTCTATTTTTCCGCGTCTCGTCTAACGTCCAACAGTCAAAGTACACAGGCCTCGTTTTTGAACGACCTTTTTGCCGGTCCCAGAACCATATTTTCAATGAAAGCACGTTACGTTTGCATAAGTAATTCAGTTGGGTTTTATTATATGAACGCCCTGCGAGCTATATGGCTCAGTATGGTATTACTTAGATAACTTATATGAAATAAAATATTCGATTGCTTATTGTACAAAAAAATTAAATTGCCTCTGAATACAATTCACCGTAAAGGCATATATATATATATATATATAAGGCTAACGAATTGTATTTTGTGCCGTACTTAGAAAATTGTTTTTAAAAGAAATTGTCATGTCGATATTCTCGTAGTTTATCGTAGAATATGACATTATCGTCGATATGACTCAAACTTTCAGCGTTCTATACATGAGACAAATACTTAAGATCCTCGATCCATTAAGAGTTCCAATGGAAAGCTTTTTAAATATGTCTATAGATCCGCTCTTTGCTTTTCTCTTCGCTCCGTCAGTTTACACACAGCGAAATAAAAGGGTTTTTTCAGCGCATCGTCAAAGTTGCACAGCGCTGCCAAAAAGTCTCATATATCATATTTTTAAATAAATCTTGTTCCTAATGCTTTGAATGTTGTGTTTTGTTGATCAACTCGAATTCCCACGCATTGCTTGTGTCATCATTACGCTCGAGATGGCACCCTTTACTTACGGCGATAATGAGTAGCTAGTGGACTAAAATAATGCATTCATGCAAAAACTGATAGAGACAGAGTACAGTTCGAGACTGTGCACGAACCAGGAACCAGGCGGCCATTCCATTTGGAGGCCTTTCGGTTAGGGAGGCAGCTTGTGAGTTTAAAATAAGCACAGCTCCATTGCAATCTTACATAAAGGTGTGCAAAAAGCTACAGCTGCCGATACAACGAACGAGCTTACCTCAACCCACGTCCATCTACGTGTGTGACGCCTATCTAAAGGCAACGTTAGCACCAGGATCATGCCAGATTACTACAATCTAATATAATACAATAATACAATGCATAAAAAGGTGAATTTCGTATGAGTTTGCTAGGCAGCTGAACATAAATAAACCCGACAGTTACCATCACAGACTAGGATTGGATAATGGCTTCCTTGACACGGCGCGATTAGTGTTCCTTGACGCAACCTGATGAAACGTGTTTTGCACGCGTAGTGTGGTTCAATAGGTAAGCAGTGAGTTTTCTTCGAGTATCTCAAGACTTTAATGGAGTTACACGATTGCACTTTTTTAAATAATTCTAATATGAACAAGACGTCTTTTCATATGGTAGTGAGCCATCATGAGGGTAACTGCGCTCAAGGGAATAAAATGAGCTACACTAACATGACCAACACCCGGAATTAATGTTACGATGTTCACCTCCGTGTCCGCAAAGGAAAAGTTTCTTCATTTCTTTCGTATTTTCTCGAGTTTACTTCAAGGAAAATATGCTAACGAATGCATCCGTCGGGGATTTTGCAGATCTGTTTGTATGAATTAGAAAAGAACTGAAGACTGCTGAATGGCTGTGAACACTTCGTACAAATCGGCAGAATTTTTTAACGATTTATGGTAGAAGGAACTATGATATAGTCGGCTTAACAACAACTGTGCACGGGAAATCATGATGGCCGATATAGTTAGAAGATCGTAGAAGATAGGTATCTTTCCGCTGAACGAAAAATTTATTCGCAGAAGATGATCATCTTTCTTCAGTGGTACGGCCACTTTCTACAAGTACTTTCTTCAGTGGTAATAGAACGTCTTTTTCGTTGTCAATTGCTGCTGCAAGAAGCAAACGCCAGAACCTGTAAATCAACCGTTATTCTCACAAACGAATATTAGTGGCTCTGTTTTTGAACACACGACCCAGCCGTTTCAACTGCCTTACGGAGTTAATTCTCGTTTACATATCAATATTTTCTAGATCAAAACAATTTAGTATTTCGGAAATGCTCAGCAAAGATCATAAGAATGGTAGCTGACCACCCAAATCGCTTTAATTGGCTTCTTCGCATAAAATTATTAGTAGATTGATTATTTTTTTGAAAACTGACGATTGAAATTATGTGTCCATGTGCGTGTGATGTCCATTTTAGGACACCAAATAGAGAACTGCTTTGCAAACACACTAATATCATCCTGTCTCAGCCATAGAGCCTCTAGTTAAGTGACATTGTTCAAATAGAACTTTTTCGACGTTACACCTATTCTGAGTTTTACATAGAATACGGTTGCGAATTTTCTCATTACAATGTTATTCTCGAATAAAGTTCGCCTTTTTGTTTTTATGTCAAGGTCCGGCTCATACAAAAACAGCTTTTTTTGCACCAAGATGTCTGTTCGATTTAAACCATCTTGCATTATAGACCTTACCTTCATAATACCTATAAAGGTAGCAGTACGGCACAGTTGCACTCATTGCGTGAATCTCTGTGATAGAGAAAATTTAGAAGATTGTTTAGAAAATTGAAGAAAATTTGTTTTCACATGGGATTACCCGCACAGTTTTACGTCTTTACCTGTATTAGACAGAGCGCCTTTGCTAATCGTATTCCTTTTTTCTGATCCGCTATTAATTGCATCGACGGTGGTCATCGGGTCAGAATCTTGCCAAGCTGTTCGAATACTTAACGCAACAATTACACGTCATCCTCTTGGACGACTTATGTAGTAAGCGGTAATTCATCATGCACAAGATATCCATCACAAAGAGCCGTGCGGTAATCGCTAAGCAGGCCGCTTAAAGTTAATTTCTCAACTTTTTTTTTTCAACAAGTTTTCGAACACTATGAGACATACCCTACCGTAGGTAGGTTTCAGTTGTTAATGACATTACCGGCAAAATGGTGTCGTATTCGTGAGCAATTACGTGTTTTATTTTATTTATTTATTTTTATTATTATTTATCAGAGACAATGTTTAGAATTAGCTCGAAAGTTCGGAACGCCCATTCGGTTTTGATGTACCGACGAAAATTGTAGCATATGTTGGAACTGTATTGTTATTGTTGATGTTCTATTGTCACCGGGTCTGTTCCCTAACATATGTACATATAGCGTTTTATGGTTTCAAAGGATTCATGTGCTTTATTAAAGAACCTTTCACTGACTATGATATGCACTCGAGCTGATCAGCCAGTATCGTTCGTCAACAGTTCCCTTAACAACAATTTTAACAAGTTTTCCATTATTTCCTTTTACGATATTTATATATATACTTCGTTGTAAAATCGTCGTCAGTCAGTATCTTCTCACGCTTTCAGTAGGCTGCTAAAAGCTGATTCTTGAAAATGGTGAGCGAATTCGTTCATGCCTCTGTTTTGTAAAATGTTGGATCTAGCTGAGTTTTGTGTGTCTGCGTGTCTGTATGCGCCTGTGTGTGTATAGCTGGCTGACTGTACATGCGCCCTCCTCTGTATGCCCATTTTATAGTTTGGCGCTTACTTGCTAGCCCTGCCGCAACGCCAGTACCCTCTGCTACGTTGTGTGTTCTTCTGCCCATAGCCCGCTTTTAGGTTCGCCGCCGTATCTGGCAGATCGTAGTAATCGTAGTGAATGCGGTACCCTCCTCCACTAGCGCCCGCGGTCCGACCTCCTTTTGGCTTTAACAGTTCGACAGCACCGTTGACTGTCGCCACCAGCGTAGCAGCTCTGAGGAGTAAGTCTATTTTGCGATCGAAAGCAGACGAGCCTGTCCAGACGACAATGGCAAAGGCATCTCTCTCTCCTTACTTGTAGTCAGCGATTGTGGGGCACAGAGCTGGCTGTGTGTCCCTTGACCGCCAACAGCCATCGCAATTGGATTTAACGACGGAATATCGATGTCTATTGTGATCAATGTCAACTGCTTCCTCGTGCCTCGAAACGGAAAGGACCACGCGGACCTCTCGACGACAATAGCTGCTGGTTGAGTGTGAGCTACGACTGGACAGTTGAAGTGGTTTGCCTGAGGTGTGTGCAAAACCGTGAAAAACGATTTGCAACCGAAGAGAAAAGCTGCAAAACAGCACCGCACTTTATTATTTGGCTGTCACTACGAAGGTGTCTCAGTGAATAAGGAACAGATGCTGCGGTGACAACGTTGGTTACGCGTCGTTCATCAACGGATTTTCTCATACATGACGTAGCAGCCATTCCACTCTGTTAGAAAACGTTCGTGTCGATTAGCGACTGACTATTAGTGTTCCTTCGTCTGCTGTTGGACTGAACATTTGATTCACAGAAGTAATCGTTTACCAGTTGTCAACAGTTCCAGTAAGAATTAAGCTAACAACTTCATAGCATACATGTAAGAACCTGATAGGGTTAGATCGTAGGATGCATAGGATATTAGTAATAACAGACCGGCGACATAAGCAAAGCTTTGTTACGGTCAGGCTCTACGTCGCTACCTCAAACGACGTTTCGTTCCACTCGGTCCGTGACATATACGATGAGGCGTTTCACTGCAAGCGGCGGATTAACATTTAAGGCAATGGAAAATAATCATGCTGCTTCTTAAATCGGCTAGTCATTATTTATTGTGTTTATTAAAAGCTTTTTATTTGTAGAGAAGCTGAGAAAGTTCTACGTAAATGTCTGCCGAGTGGTTGATTGTGTTATAGCATTTCCGACTCAGCTTAGAGTTTAAACAGGAAAAATCGGTGCTGATCGACAAAGCAGTTCGCTAGGGTAGGAAACGATAACCCCATCTCTAACGTCAGCAATACGTAAAAGTTGCTTTTCGCGTATTACGCAGCAGTTGCCATGGCAGCGTTATAGGTTTACATTTTATATTACACCACTACGGAGGCTAGCGGGATTTTTGTAGCATCGACCTGCCTAGGCTGCCCAGGGACAAGCGGGAAATGGCCCCCAGTCAAGCACTAGGGCCCGAAAAAAAAATGCAGTCGGTTCTGTAAACGGAGCAAGACAGGGATGGGTTACAAAGACGAGTCGGTGCAATCAAGAAACAAACAATGATAATTATGTGAGCCAAACAAAAAATCTCGATAAAATGGAATGTTAGTTCTGTTAATTTATAGAGTCTAACAGTGCCACAGGTGTCCCTAATTCTGTCTGTGAATGATTGCGGCACTTTAGTTTTGTGTTACCGGCTGGCGTCGGTAAGTTTGCCCAACTGTTTCACCAGTAAAAGTACAATAAACAATTAATTACTGACAAGGACTATAACCGTATTGCCCCCAACCAGACTAAATCGCCCTCACTACCGGTTAATACCATGGCTATAGGCCTATTCACATTGGGTTATCGTAGCACAAATACAGATGAGTCTGTTCGATAGTAACAGAGAAAAACTTTGGAGGGTTACGGCGAACGTGTAGTTTCATCAGAACTAACGACCCTTACCTATCTGTTAGTTTTTTCTTGGGTAAACTGCTAAACAGCTGAGCAACAGCTGGCCGATTCATTTGCTGATTGCATATGTCGAATCAGCTTCTTTTCTTTACAGTTTGGGTTGCGCCATCGTCAGAATTATGCTGTGTATCGAAGGATCGTTATTGCGGACTATTTGCTATTTTGAAGTGCGGGCCCAAGACAATTACCTCCGTGTGTTGGGTCTTTATCGTTTCTTTCATGGCAGGGATTTTCGTTGTCATATTGTAACTAACCACGAATGCGAACTGTTGCAGCATTTGTAGTGCCTACTGCCATTAATAATCAATTATTGGAGAAGTTCCACGATAATTATATTCCGATAACAAGAATCTGTTGTTTCTAGAAAAAAAACGAGCAACGACGATTCAGTAACTACAATTGCTGGCTATAGCTCTGATTTGCTGACAAGCGCAAAGTGACAGATATTAATAGGTTTCTCAACACACAGTTACGACGGCTGTAGTAAAGTTGTACTATTACACCATTAGCTAAGCTGTCGACTCATAGAAAAATTCATCCATTTAAACATAGATTTTGTTCTATCAGTAAAAATCATCGTTTTTGTGAAGACATGACCTATCCAATATTTCGACACGTTATATCTTAAACAAATTATTGTTGTCGTTAGCTTTTCTACTTCTTTCGAATAAAGCAGGCTACCACAGGTGCGGGTACTCGATAATAAGACTGACCTGTACATAGCAGCAGCAAGACAACTACACTCAATGAGCCGTCCAATAGAATACCAAATTTCGTCAACGACAAATGTCGTCGCTATTTACTTTAGTTCTCTGCATTTGCGAGA